CGCACCGATGTCCATGAAGTCCATGCTCTTATTGGTCGTCAGAGGAACGTGTTTTTTTTCATTCTCAGAAAACGATGTGAATACCAATTTCCAACGCCCTGAAGCCACCCCATGATCAGGAACGAATGTAATTTTATTGGTTCCCTCGGCAAGAGTCGTCGGCCATCCAGGAATGAGGACTGGGGTGTAGTACGAGGCGGAGAGGCTCAAACCAATCAGTGTTTGGTCATTGTTAACTTCGCAGGTGTAGGTGTTGAGCAAGCCACCGAGTATAACGCTGGGAAAGCAGTTCGTGAGTATCACCAAGGATTCATTTCCAGCTGCCGGCGTGGCCATTCTCGTTCGGGGGACCACGCCACCAGCCGCAGCAGCACATCGAAGAAACGGTTCAGCCACAACCATCAGTACCAGAAACAACACCTGGATGTCTCTCAGCTGCAGTCCCATAGATGCCAGCAGTCTCGTCTTCCTTTTGCCTCGACGCAGGATTGAAACAGGTTTACAGACGCCCATGGCATCGAGACTGCAGCTCTCAATGCTCTTTGGTATCTTGAAACGCCGCAGATGTGATAATTGTGATTTTCCTTCCATGTGTCTCATGCTCTTCAATTCCTTGAAATAATTTATAGTTCTACTAGCAGCTGCTTGTCTTGATTCATAAAAAAGAAAACAAAGCAGAAGCAAAACGCGGCGAATAGCACGTAGAGCACAAATAATCAGTAACAAAACACCTTGTACAGTGGACACTTCCCCATGCGTCTTCGCTCAGCACATATATATATATGCTTCTGTAATTGGAATTTCTACCCGCATCCCGAATTGCGCTCGACACCACAACATGATATCATTCATGATTCCCGTCCCCTTCTTGTGTGTTCACGCAAGCTTTTACTCATCTCTTCCTGAATTTCTCTTACGAAAGACCTAAGGCGCTAATCCTTGCAGAAAGGAAAAAGTATTTGTTAAATTTATTCGTCAGCAAAGAACAAAGCAGTCGGGCACTTTGAATGGCAAGTTCAGCCTCGTGCACAGTAATTATCAGTGCCACTCGCCAGAGGAACACTCTTGGGACCCAAATGGAACGCTTCCTGTTTGCTAGAAAGACGCATTTTATAGTTATACACATCTCGCTTCTTTTTTGTTCTTACCAACTCATTACGCTCAAATGCCTCTGAAAGCTGCAGCTATTCGGGTACTGGACAAGGCATCTTGCTGCATCACGGCAACTAATTTTTTATCCGATAATCGTTGATATTTTCGGATAATTTGTTTTGCGATTATCCCATGCATTCTCTCGCCAGTGTCGTTTGGCACATACTCAGAATGTTGTCACTCTGTTTGGGCTTCTTTCCCCTCATGTTGCTTCTCTTTGCAGGGAAATTGCAAGGCGATTTACCTTGGGGGCTGTACGAGGATCATCTGCAGAAATACATTCACTGCCTTCACAGAGAAAGTCCGTCAATCTGCCTATATAGAAGCCTTCAATAACCCAGCAGCGGCGTATGTAGTTTGAGGAGTCTAAACACAGCACCGCCTTCGAGCACAGAAACAATTACTGTGTGCAATTCATATCTTCCTCATGGTGTCCGGCACCGCAGCGAGCAATCAAACCTTCCTCACGACTCGCAATCGTACATCTTCAAGGTGAATCATATGACATCATTAGGTTATTCGCCCCCCGGGAGACTGCCCTCCACTCCCAGCCGTAGTAAGGCCAAGATATGCTATACGGGAGGAGGATCTGGTTTGAACTCACCTCCCACACACACACACACACACACTCTCATAGGCACTTTTTTTGTTGTTTTAAGTACCCCGTCCGAAGAATGTTTTAAGATGAAGTATCTTTTTTTCATTCCACAAATGATGATGACTGTTCTACTGACGAAGGAGTCTCCTTACACAATGCGCCAAGACGTTCAGCCTACTTTTTAAAGACAGAACGCCGAAGTCATTCAGCGACTGTAAGAGTCTTCATTTGGTTATATTCAGAGCTGTTGTATATTCAATGAGGAGAGGCGCCTGCAGCTCCAGCCCATACTGCCAACGTCAGAGTCACGCACGCCTGTGCGCCGAAGCATGAACTGTCAGAGCCAAGAATAATTTTAAGACTCCACTGGCGAGCAAATTAATTATTTTTTTTTTCTTTACCAAATACATTCTTCCCAAATGAATTCGGCTCACCGTGTCCGCGTCGCAGATGCAACATGGCTCGAGCTTCTTCTCAGTGCTTAGCGCAGCGTACTGCATAAAGCGAGAAGGGCCACTTCTCTCGAAGTGAGGCGAAACATGCACTCAGAGAGTGTATCAATTGGCTAGTGACGCAACGGAAAAACAAAACAGAGGAAGAAGGTATTACCCCTTAGATTAGGATTGACATCAGTTGAAAGGAAATTTATCTTCCCTGTATTTTTTTTTGTCTTTCTTCATCATGTACCACTATTCAACCGGTAACGAACCCAATGTGGCAATGCGTATTGGTGTGTCTGCCTCATTGGCAATGGCAGAATATAAAGCGAGGATCACCAAGTCATACTTCTTTTAATCACTTCTTTCTTTCCTCCCCTCTCTTCTCTTCCGGTGGAAATCCAAGAGGATTGCCAGAACACGCCTGAACCATATGTGAAATAAAGAAACTCGTGCATGTACTGATAGTCGCCTTGAATGTGTTCCTGGTCATCGTCCTTTATTGTTTTCGCATCACAACTTTGGCTCCGAGAAACCATCGCGCTCAGCAAATACAATATATTAATCATCAGTAAAAACAGTTTAAAGAACTGTAGAATGATAGTTTGCCTGAGTCTCAAGTACATTTGGCTCTTATCGAAAAGAAACAAAGAAGACAAGCAAACCGAACAAAAAAAACAGAGGGCTTAAAATTGCGCTTTTCATACATATATATATATATATATANAGAGAGAGAGAGAGAGGCGATACGATCTGCAACGCATGTGTGGGGCAAAACTGTTTCACAACTCATTTCTTTGAGATGCCATACATATATTTGTTGTGACGACTTCCATTATTGATGGCCCTCCTCTCCACTCATCAGCGGGGGTTCCAATATACCCTAAGTGGCCTCCACAAGGAAACTCCAGAATTGCGACAAAATTGTTCGCGCTGACCAAATCTTTCAATTGCTCTTCTGGTGGCTCACCCGTGACTGGGTCGTCGCTGGTAATTACACATAGCATTGGAATTTTGCAGCTTCGGAGTGTTACAAGCGCGTTTACAGCAGAGTAGTACTCCTCAGGACTAGAGAAACCATTATGAGGGGCATTGATGTATTTGTCAAAGTCCCGTACAGTTTTTATTTTCTTCAAGAATTCAACTGGGTCTTTGCGGAAGCTATCCTCCTTGATACCTGGAAGATACTTGACTACTTCCTTGTGGCGATGAACATAATGCAGAAGCCCAGCCGTCAAATTCTTTTGGTATAGTGCATTCTTTGGTAGCATCATATTGGCACTTGATGCCAGCGCATCGAGAGGGCTATTGATAATAAGTGCGGCGTCGAATGGGTGCTCCTGGGTTGTTTTTTCTCCCTCCTCTGCAAGAAACTTTGACAGGATGATACCCCCCAAACTAAAGCCAACAGCCCATACCTTTGCAGCCGCGGATCCAAATCTCAATGACAGCGCAGCCTTGGTCAGAGTGGTGTGAGTGACCCAACGGATATCACTTGTCCACGTCGCAGACATGATTCGTGGTTGCGTCAGCGGCGTGTCGCCCATACCTCTTGTATTAAAAACACAGCAATGAAAGCCCTTTTCGTGCGCGTGCCAAACATAATGCTGTACGTAGTTTGTCTGTGACCAGGAAGCAAGACCCGGGATAATGATAAGGATGCCATTTGCAGACCCAGTTAGCGTGTCCGCCAGAAGCCAGTCCAAGCAGATGGGATTACCATCTACACCGTTGACAATCTCCCGAGTGTATTCAATTGGCCGCGGCGGACGCAGCGCGCACAGAACGGTGCTAATGTGACCATTGTAAAGCGGTGCGGTATACGAGACACAAGAAATGTGTTCAAGGGAAAAAAAAGTTTTTGTGGTCGCTCCCATAGCTACAACTGCGATGTGTTGGGTGGTTCCTTTCGAGTCATTCGACTTCCACAGCCCAAGCAAGACCTGTATAAACCGTGGAACGCAGATATACACCACATGGGTCACAGAGTGCACAACCCAAAATGCTGCCTTATAGATGAACCTTGTCATTAAAGAAGACTGAGGCAGAGGCAACAAAAAAAAAAGAGCAACAAGGAATAGTGTCACAAGAAGCTGCTTTGACAAATCTGTCCAGCCCACACACATTGTCTACACCTCAGCACCAATTTGGTTTTCTGGATATCATTTCGTTTGGGCTTAGTTCTGCATTCCGTGCCCCGCCATCCACATGAACGAAAGCCTAAACCATTAAAAGCAGTACTGTAATGGGCTGGATACACCAGATGGTGTGAACGTAGGGTCATCAATCCGTCATTTGCGCATACACACTTTTTTTTTGGTCTCCTTTCGTTGCCTGTAGCTCTCTTCCACTCTTTTCACACCGGGCGCCGCCAAAGACACGGGCTTGATGAATCAAGAAAATATTAGGAAACCAGCTTCCCACACGAGGCACCAATACTCAAGTCCCTGGCCTCTCTTACATGACAATTCGTCCTTTGACGGCAACGCTTAGAATGGGCGCAAGCGACTCTATGATCTTATGCACGTCGAACACAGTTGAGTGGACAGTTATTTGCAGCCATTCAGCAGTTCTTCACCCGCTGCCCCCCCCCGCCATCCACACGATAGAAATAAAAATATCGCGTTGCGACGATAAAGAGAGGACGGGAGAGATAGAGAGAGAGTCTCCTGCCTCGGCAAGTGCATCACCACAGCGGTCCTTCATTTCATTGCTTACGAAGTGTGCAATCTCAAGGGGCAGCCATACTTCTTCTCTTCTTTTTTTTTTGTTTTACTCACGTCGAAGCAAACACAAATTTGTTTGTGTTTTATACTTCACTTATCTTTTTTTTGGTTCGACCCTTTTTCCTTTGTTTTTACTTATCGTGCAGAAGAATAAGAGGATTGCGTCTTCTATTTAAAGGGCTGGATATTTGTCGGGCTGCAGAGTCTCGTCTACGCCTAGCATGGTTACACAAGAGGCCATCTATTTAGGGCGCCAAGACGCAAGCAGAAAGGGCGAGGAGACACCCACTAAAAATCAGGCAGCGCAGAGCACTCAGCATCCTTCACGCCAGCCGTAACGCACTGACCCACCTATGATGATGCTTCGGTTCTTACGGGTCACTATCGTCATCTTGGTGCAACAGCACATCACGCACCTTCTTTAGCTGGGCAATGGAGCGCAAGTAGCTTTCTCTTACGGCGTCTGATTCTTCACGTGATACACTGGGTGATGGAAAACACTGTCGCTCGAAGCCTTCAATGATGGATGTCAAAATCACCCCTTGTTGGAGCATCACCTCTCTCAAAGAGAGTGTGGGTGGAGGTGTGGATGCATATTCTACAAGCGATTTCGAGACCAACTGAGGCTCCGCAAGAGAAACATGGTGTGACGGAGTGAAGTAGCGGCCTAAGCCAGACTTCTGTGAGTCTATCTGGGATATAGTTTTTTCCACCAAAACACCTACGTCCTCTACCGGTGGATACTTCATCAGTCGTTTTAGAGCGGCGATGCAACCCACCATGAGCTCGTTCCTCACAAACAACAGCATGGATGCTGCAAGCATCGTGATGGTGCTATCGATGAGATGGTACTCGCCATGTCCCACAAGAAACTTTTCACACAAAAACAAATCCCACAAATCAGCACACTGAACAAGGGAAAACTCCCGTAGAAAAATCAGACGTAGCCAACGTATCAAATACGACGTACCTTCAATTTCATATATGGTGTTCATTTGTTGATGCAGAGCTGGGTCGAGCTTGGCCAAACATTCACCTTGAACCTTTTGAGCTGCACTGACTATGGAATCAGGCGCATGTTCGTCATCTGTGTAGTACCATTGTGACAGGTTCATACCAGGTGCATTCATTATAATTTCAAAAAGTTGAAACGATAGTGCTGTCTTGCCATCCTCGGGATAAACGGATCTGAATGTACTAAATAACAAGGTATGAGTTCCCTCATTTTTTCCCTGAAGTTCATCAACAAGAGTCGTATCATTGTGGATTACGTAAAGAATGAAAGCTGCTATCTCATGCATTCCCTGTTTGTAGTCGCGGTTATGCCGCAGGCAGTAGTTTACCAGAATAAGTAGCAATGTTTCCTTTGTAGTGGGCTGCTCAAAAAGTGGCAAGTCCCAGTGGAGCCGATCAATGTCCTTCTGCGCTGTTGCCCGTATTTTGTCAATATTGTACCGAAAAGCATAGGAACTTCCAGCTGTCGGAAGCAGTGGATTCTCCACAACTCTTCCTTCCGTTTCTTCATCGGAAGAGTCACTTTCGCCAAATCGTCCCTTTTTCTCCGATCTTTTTGGGCTGGAATCATCAGTCTGAATACGCTTCATCAGAGCATCATTCATTGTGTTCCATTCTTGTACACCCTTCTGTGTGTATCTAGCCCATTCCGTACTGTACGTGCTGGCAGACACATTTACAGGGAGAAGACCCATAAGTAGCCGCCAGCGCAGACTGTGTAGGGCGCGAAAAGAGCGCGGCTTCGCAAAATTTAAAGAACGGTGGAGCAGGGCATCTGTCACCCGGCCTTCTTGTACTGACACGTAAGTATCTAGGAACTCTTCCATACAATTTGCAGCACACCTATGAGAAATCTTGAGAAGGGTTAAACAAGAGGCGATGAGATACGATCCTCAGCACCCGACTGGTGGGGACGCAAATTATTTCATTATTTGTTGTTGTTGTTGTTGTTTTTCGCCTGAGGGGGAAGGGAGGGAGGTTGATAGGCACCAACACATTTCCAAGAGCATTTATCGTCATCATTCGGTATACTTCGCCACGTCAGGGTGGAGAGGGGTGCATCTTGTTTGCATCCCGGGGCATATTGAACCCAAGAAGTCGAACATAAACAAAGAGGTGCCAGGTACCGCCAAAGTTCCCCGTGGGAGTTGATTCGCCAGTTGCAATCGTAGCGGCTGTGCCACAGATGTATTGTTTGTCTCCTGCTGTTGAGGTGTTGTATTAGGAAAATCGACACCAGGAAACTCTACGAACTGTTTCTTCATACTCTTCTCACCATGGACAGGGTCAAGCATGGCTAGTCGTTCTGCCTCCTTTGCACGTCGGCGTTGCCTCCAATATCGCTGAATGATCTCTGCGGCGTACGCCTGCGAAGCGGTAAAGAATTCACTTGCTGCTTCGGAATAATGAGTGCTGAACTTCCGGCGCACATACATTCGAAAGTTTTTGTAAGCGAAACCCTGAACAATGTCATTGTAGAAGATTTGATATTTGGAATCGAGGGGTAGGCGAAGCGCTGATAAAAAACAAATTATTCCCACATGATCTGTGAGAGCCTCACCCTTTAAGCCGGTCAGTAAATACGGCATATGAGGAATTATGGCAAGAAAGTCCCTGAAGTGAATGAGAGGCCGGCCGGGGCCTACAGTCTCCAGCCACATGCGGCGGAACTCCAGGAAAGCATCGGTCATCTCGTCCTGCAACTTGGTTGTAAAAACATCCAGAAAGAGGCCCATAAGTAACTGGAGGAATATAACCACAAGAAGAAGGTACGTCACAAAGTATGTCACCGAAGCAGCTGTCGAGCCACAACTTTCCGTCGCACTCCCCGGGCTGCACCCTGTATCTGCAGGATTCTGAGCACATGCTAGCATGACGTGCTCCCACCCATCCATCGATCCCACTTGGAACATCAGGAGGAGAGAGCCAATGGCAGTGTGGAAATTTCGGTTTTCTGTGAGCCCCAGATCGTGGAGCTTCACACTGCCAAACAGTGGAACACCCACCACCGCATAGACCAGAAGCAGAATGGAACATACAATGGAGATATTGACTAAAGCTAGCTTGCTTCGGCATATGGAGTACAGTATTCTCTCAATACAGCTCCCTTTGAGAAGCTTTACAACTCTAATCACCCTCAGGAAGGATACCACTGGCAGAACGGTAGCGACTACGATAAGCACCAGCACGATGAAGTCCACAAGATTCCAAACAGAGCGACAGAAGTCTTTTAGGCCATACGCAACGAGTCGAAGCACAACATCTAGACCACAAACAACACTACCAATAATATCTATTGAGAAAATCATTCTCTGTTGCCAGTTCGGTTGATGGCTTGTCGTAGCAGCAAGAAACACGCAGTTGATAAAAATAACTACACGCACAAAATAATAAAAGTGCGTATGACCACATTTCGGAGATTGAGCCGTCAGAATTTTGTGCGCAATCCAGCTGAGAGAGTTCATCTTTGGTGTACTTACGTCAATCATTGATACAAATTCAACTATAAACTTTGCTTTTAGGTATTGTTCCTTGTCAGACCCCAATCCAGTCCGTTCATCATAGGTGCTACGTATGCGAGAAAGGCACGCAGTCATAACCGCAATGATAGTCCTCAATGCCACGAGTCGGACAATTAAAACAGCCAAGATGAAGAAAACCACATAATAGGCAGAGTGGTTGCGCGACACCACCTTGTCATCATCGGCACTGTCCATTCCAGCATACATGAGGGTCGTCCAGTTGCTTCCAATCCCAATTGCAAAGATGGAAAGGAGAGCACTTCCAAAATTGTCATATGTCAGCTTCTCTGTCACCCAGCGTCTCTCCTTCATTAAAGGCTCTTCAACAACGTATCCTGGCACCAATACGGTGTAGGTGCCGTTGCAGGCAGATCGCCCACTCACATTGGGGTCTGAGCAGTGGTACAGCCTTCCGGAAAAAAATTGCATGCCTGCCACACCGAATATAACAAACACAAAAATAATGAGCGACGCGGCATTCCAAAGGTGTCTGAGTTGCTTGAGGACTGCAATAAGCGCTGGATTGGGGTATTCTAAACTCGTCAACAGTCGAATGGCCTGGATGGATTTACCGACACGGCATGGGGCAAAATATATACCTACAAATGACAGAACGTTAGGAATAAAGTCGACCCAATTGCATTTTTCTCTAAAATACGCCGCTGTGTGTGGATTCACCACTGTTTGGTCGCGCACCGCTGCTGGAAACAACACTCCGAACGCAATCCATTTCATAACCATCTCACCAAGGAAAAATGCTGTGTACACAATGTGCACCACCCTTAGTTTATACTCCAACTGAGGCGTGTTATCATGTCGCTCGAATAAAAGTGACACAACACCCATAGTGACGCACAACATTACAAGAATGCGGTACCACATTGAACCAAGAATCGACAGCAGCAACCGACGCAGAGAGCATTGGGGATCAAACAGAAAGAATGAGGCCCCTTTCACGCGTAGTGTCCGAGTTGACAGTAACCATGCAAGCCACCGCTCTATTTTTTGAAAAACTGAAGACCTTAGTTTAGAATTCTCATCAAGAAATCCACTACGACTCTTCTTCTCAATGGTAAGTTCAATGCTGTTGGGCTGTGGGTATCTTGCAATGTCATACCCGGGAAGCACCAGCAACGGCGGCACTTCAATACCTTCACACCGCTCACAGGCGGACCAAACAGTCACGAAACGAGTGATCATAATGCTGATGAATAAACTAACCTCCAGCACGCTCATGACGTACAGGGAAAGAAAAAATATCACCCCTGTGACTGGAGTTCCCGTTTCTAGTGTGCCTCGCATGCACAAAGTCCAGTTATCACCAGTGAAAACGACAAAGCACGTCAAGAGTGCCTCCCAGAAAGTACCAAACGATCCACGAAGCCAACCATCAAGCCGGTATGAATCTCCAAAGAGCTGCATCCCAACAACTGCGTACAAAACGAGCGTCACCACAATCAAAAGAACAGCATATCCGTGATCTCGGATGTAGTATTTCTTGAAGCGCCGCAGTGATGGAACGTACTTCCCTAGCCGAAGGACACGCAAAGTTCGCAAACCACGAACAACATGAATGCTAAAGAGGCGTGGTGCAATTAATTCTAAAAAGCCACTAATTGCTGCAAGAGCATCAAACACATTCCACACATCCCGAATCGTTGCAGCTGGACCAAATGAAACACATTTCATAGTGACTGGTATGACGTACGCCAACGAACACGCGGCACTAGCAGTCATCAGTCGTCCTCGCAGCACATTGTCCATCCCTTCCCATGTCACCACCAGTAGCAGCAGGTTAGCAAGACTAACACAAATGATGAGGAGACAAACAACAGAGTTGTCCACTGCAAGAACGATTTTCTTAGATAACCGCCCGCGAAGAATGGGTCCGTAAAGCGATCTTTCCTGGTCACATAAGGCTTGCAATAAACCACTCACAGAGCAGGCCTTTAAGAAGTTTGTAACGGGTGGGGGGCCAGGGTATGGCACGAAACGACTCACATGAAACCCCCCCAGAGTTGCTCTTACCATATCGAATGAGTCGTAGAGCGCCAGAGGTATTGTTTGGTCAGGTCCATTTGACTCCCTTGTCACATTAGGCAATATCAGTATTGGCTCCTCTTCTGGTGCTTGAACGGCAGCATCTTTGCTCTCATCTTTCCCTATCAGTGCCAATTCCTCGTCTACTGATGTGGTGGATTTCAAATCTCGTACGCTGGATGACGTCTGTGTGTAGGACTCGTGCACAATGGCAAGTAGCAGGCACAGGGAAAAAAAAGACACAATAATCATGCATACAAGGAGGAGCACGCTCGCCTCCCCCCGGGCATTCATGATGTCCTCTGCGTTCTCATACCAGCTGTCAGTCGTGCCAACTTTAAACATTAGAAGCATCGCTGACCCAATGTTGTCGTAGGTCATAAATTTGTCACCATATGAAAGCCTCTCGGGCAGACACTCCACTGTCGCCCCTGCAACCGACGGGCAGCGAAAGCGAGCGCCGCACACCGCACTCACATTGCGCAGGCGGAACGGAACCTCAAGAGAGGGGTAGGGACCAGTGGGACTAGTCGCGGTAATATAGCAGTGGTGATCGAGTCCATCCCGTACCAGCATCACGCCCATGAGTGCAAGGGAGGCAAGGAGCAAGACGAAGAACACCAGCACTTCCCCTAAAAGTCGCGCTTCTCGGACAATAGTGAGAATGACTGGAAGAAATCCGGGAACGCGCAGGAGGAAGCGAAGAGGACGGGCGACTGCAAATGCTCGCATCCACCTGTGGTGCCCCGTTGGCTGCAACAACGCAACGACGCCCATGGCATTGACCACCAGCTCCACCACGTTCCAGAAGCTGCGAAAGAAAGCGCCGGGGTGGAGCACAAGGCCAACTGCAATGATCTCCAGAATGCAGCGAAGCCAGAAGAAAACAAGCAATACCGCTTGCATGGTGTTCAAAACAAGCGATGCCGTCCTTCCAAAGTCGTAGGCAGGCTGAAATGCGGCGGTGAGTGCAGTACTGGCTGCCACTGCCGACGACCACACAATGAACATTCGAGGATGCGCCACGAGTTTGTAGCAAAGCAAGCGGAAACGGCCGCGGTGGCTGAAGAGAAAGAGCGACGAGCCCCTCTCCGGGTAAACGTGCCACGGCCCGGGCGTCCAGTTCTTCAGCACCCCGTCCCACGAGACGGTGCCCTGTGCGTAGGGCATATTCCCTCCTGCGCGACCACAGAGAGTAAGACCGGCAGACTGGCAGACAGGGATAGGGAGAGAAAAGGAAAGAAAGCAAAAAAAAAAGAGAAAGAAAAAGGAGACACGAAAGATTATTAGTGGCTAGGCAAAAGGAGGTGTGAAGAGGACGGGGAAAACCAGTTGCATATATCATCACACCAGAGAGAACCGCATGATTTCAGCAGTCTTTGCTCTAACCACGAGACATTCCAAGCACACTGTATCACTCCACTGCAGCTGTCCACGTGGAGCCTCCCTCCTTGCAGCGGGCCGTTCTCACGGTTGAACGCCACTGTCTACTACCCGCGTCGTGAGAGGAGAACGGTGATATCACAAGCGTTTTATTTGTGGCCGGCCGCGTGTCGGCGAGGCCACTGTACGTGGCGTGTTTCGGCACGCGCGGATGCGGTGCCGCAGAGGAGCAGAAACTTCTCGAGAGACGGTGGGTGTCGTGGTCAGCCACGCCGCGGTGTTTCTCCCGTCTCTGCTGCAGAAAAAGGGCGTTGCCGTACAGCCGCTCAAAAACACTCACGCCTTCACTCCAGCGGGAGAGCAGTGCCTCGTGTGTGCGGTTGACAGTGGGGACGAAGGTGCAGTTGGCGTCGTCGCTGTCGTCGTCCCCATCGTTGTGGAGCACCGCCTGGCAGGTGCACTGCGCCCGCCGCGAAAAGGCGAAGAGACGCTCGTGTACATCACCCCGCTTGTACAACGTGCGGCGGTTTTCACTTCCACAGCGCACGGCAGACTTGCCTCCCTGTCTATGAGATTGAATCTCCGGCGTACAACACGATGAGCACCGCATCACCGCGAAGGGTTGCCGGCTAAACAGTCAAGTTGGGGAAAACGCACCAAGAAAAGAAGAGCTACAAGCATATGCAGGCATACAGACAGAGGGAGAGAGAGTGTGTGTGTGGGGAGACAGAGAGAGAGAGAAGTAAGTATATATATATATATATATAAACCGACGAGCTGACTGAAGTCCCCATGTGGGACATCAGGGAGGAGAAGTGGAATAATAGTAAAGAAAAAAAAAGGAAGAATGAGTGTTTTCAGGACGAAGAGAAGCAAAAGGGCGCTGTAAGGGAGCGTAAGCAGACACTCTAGCGAGAGTATCTACAACACTTAATCGTCCTCATCCTCAATATCAATCTCCTCGCACTGGCTGTCCTTTTCGATAGTCATGTTATAGTCGTCCATAACCTCGCGCTGCGAAACCAGAGGCACCACGGTGCTGCACGCGTGATGGATGCCAAATCGTTTCTCGTCTTTCTCTAGACGGCGCAAGTCTTCTCTGAACTCATCTTGGCACCGTGCGAGCTCCTTCTCGCGGCTATCTAACGAACGATTCCAGAGCGTAATGTTCTCATTCTTTTTCTCCAAAGCTCTCTTGCGGTCATCAATATCGTTTTCGAGTGCAGTGAGTTCACGCAACGCCTTTTCCAGGTCCTGCGCCGCGTTGAACTGCTGCAGTTCACGACGCTCTAACAAACGTTCATCCTTCTCAAAGCGATTGTGACGCTCGGCCAAAAATTCCAACTCCTGTGCTTCCTCTCGCAGCCGCTCCTCCGCACGCGCCAGCCGCTCATCCAGCTCCGCATCTTCCTTGTCCAGCAGGGTGCCGGTGCGGCCGAGCATTTGTGTGAACTTTGTCTCGTCGCACTGCAGCGTCAAGTGACTTTTCCTCGCAGCGCTGATTTGCGAGCGGCACTCTTGATGGTCGATTTCCAGGCAGCGCCGCTCGTCAGCAATATTGCTCTGTATCTGATCGAGCAGAAGGACACGTTCGCGGATGAGCGCCTCTTCGCGGAGGTAGTACTTCTCGACCTCCTTCTCCAGCGACAGGGTGCTGGCTAGCAGATTCAGGTAGCCACGCTCCGCGGCATCCGCGCCGTGCAGCGCGCGAAACTCGACGCTCATTGAGGCTTCACTTTTCGCGGTCGGCAGAGGCAAGGAAGAAGCAAAACGCGAACATGAAGCGCCACAGCAATGCAGGCACCACGACAAAAGGAATATGTAATCAAACGGGGGCAACGCGCCCCCCTTCCAAAACATCGCCTCTGCGACGCTCTTGGGTGACACTACCCCATCCACACAAGACAGCCACGCGCGGGCGGCGCCGGCCCTCAGCGGCGGAGGACGGCGAAGCTGAAGGCCGGACTTGCCGCCGCCTCCCGCAGCGCACGCCGCGCCTTCTCGTGGGTGTCGCGCCCAATGCGCAGCACGCGCTCGGTGCTGCTCGCTGCGTGAGGCGCCGATGCACACGACGCAGCTGTTAAATCCGGTGCCCGAATTCCCAACGGCTTACTCTCGTCTACGCAAGGCGTCATCACGCCTTCTTCTTCTTCTTCGTCGGCGTCGTCGTTCTGGTTGGATGATGCATCAAAGAGCGCCTCGCCCTCCTTCACGTACAGCAGCAGCTGCAGGAGCTGCCGGCGTATGTCCTCCGACATTACTTCCTCACGCCCAGCAGCCCACTCTCGAGAAGCAGAAGTGAGAGAGAGAGAAAGAGAGAAAGGTATGAATAAGAATAAAAAGAAGAACTATGGAGAAAGCACACAAGCAGCAAAGTAAACGGTGAATGAGGAGAGTGCCTTCCAAACATGAATAATACGGTGAATTCGCCGTTGTCACATCCTGTCGAAATAATAAAATCTTATATTTGTTATGACGTATCATCCACGGCCATCTGGTGAAAGCCGAGCTCCTCGTCCTGCTCAAAGGTACGCCCGTAATCAACCTTTTTCAGCCTCGGGTCTTCGTTGTCCGGCGGAGGCAGATGCTCACGCGGGTTCTGCACGTAAACGTTCGCCAGTGGGTCATCAAGGATGAACGTGAATGGCTTCTTCATCTCAAGAAGTTCGTCAAGCTCCTTTGCGAACTCCACTAGCGTCTTGCTGTTTGCATCTGTAGCGGCCGAGTCACCCTTGGCGAACTCCGCCTGTGGCAAGCTGCGCAGCTGGTCGCGTACCATCACAATGGTGCCCTCAACGGTAGAGAAGAAACCTCCAAGTGTGCCGGGCGCCAACTCTAGTTCCACCTCTGGGATTTGAAGCGTTGCAGTGTCAGACTTGAGTACATCACGCTTCAAATCATCCTCCGACTCAACACACAGAGTAATCTTGAGACCTTTTTCCGAGACCTTTCCGCCGGACTTCACCTCGTTGCTCTTATATCCACAGTAGTCGCAGCGAAACGCCATAATGACGGTCTCCTTAAAGTAGGGGATATTCACCTGCTGCATGTTAATGAATCCCTGTTTTTTGCACGCAGGGCAATCAGTCTCCATGCGCATAACGTCATCAAATTGGCCCTCCTCCACTTCCCGCTGCTCTTCATCTGTTCGTTGTGTATTGTAATCAATGGCGAGCCCCAGCAGCTGGCGGTCGATGTCCGTACGTTCCTTCTCGTAGCGCGTAAGCTGTGGATCGATGGTAGGGTGGTAGTAGTCATAGTACGCCTCGATGTAGCTGCTACCAGCAGGGTCATCAATGATGAAGGTAAAGGGTATATCGCCTTTGCGATACTGCCGAAGCTTCTCACAGAACACCTCGAGTTTCTCGTAGAGCTCCGGCTCTTGGATGCGCCGCAGAGGCTGCTGTATCTGCAATCCGGACTCTGTCTGTTCCAAAAATCCCTCCACCGTGTTGAGCATACCCTTCTTCGACTCTGTAGGAATCTCCAGTTCCAGCTCCGGGATACGCACGGTCGCGTACTCCGACTTCACCACCTGGCGGTCCAGGTCTTTTTTGGATTTTACTTCAAGTTCGTAGCGTACTGCCTTGGGGCCAAATGTACCGCCAAACGTCACCTCGTTGTTGCGCTCGCCACAGTGGGGGCACTCAAAACTGCTCACAATGATCTCCTTGAAGTGCGGAATATTTGCGATCATGAGACGCGTTGTGCCGTTCTCACCGCAGCGAGGGCAGCGCGACTCAATCTCATTCATCTCACCGAGTTCAGTATGGATGTAGTTGGTGCCAGACTCAGCAGCTCCGTCCTCCTTTGGGGACGTCAGTTGCTGCTCCTCTGGACGCTCCGGCATTGGTTGTGCGCGGAAAAAACGTGTACCGAATGGCTATGTTCAGGCACAATTCCAAAAAAAAGAAACAAGAGCGGATGACTATCTCCAAATTTCAACAGCACGTCCGACGCTCACAGTGTCTTATACAAATAATCAGGCAAACAAGACAAAAATAATAAACGGATTTGAAGGACAGAAGTGTTAGGAGAGCCTAACGAGACCCGCTTCTTCTTTGGGGTTTGCTTTGGAACAGTATCAATAACAAAGCAGTTCAATAAAAAGCATATATATATATATATATATGCTTACACACTTACACAAATTCATATATGTACACACAAACGTGGGCGTGATCCGAGAAGTCAAAAATACGACACTACATCAACAACAACAACAGCAGCACCATATCTAAGCCATCTCACGGCCATCGTCCATGTCGTCCTACTCAACCTGTCAAGATGTATGTCCCGTTAAGGCGCGTCCTTGCCCGGTACGACGGGCACACCGTCCACATTCGAATAGCATGAAGTTCAATGGAGTGGCACACCTCGGCAGTTTTATGCTCGCATTGTATGTGGTGCACCGTTCCACCTGGGGTGTCAAGGTCCACGGTAAAGTCATTGGACACAATGACATTTGTCGTGAAACCGTCGATCGCATCGGGATCAATACCCAACTTCTTCCGCATAAGATTAATCCCTGGGCTGCTGAACGCGACTCCTGGGAGGTGTGCACGTGCCGCCACGATGTGTGCCACGACGCCACCGAGGGAGTGGCCCGTTAGGACAATATGCTTTGAATTGACGCTTCGCAAGTAGTCCTCCACATGCAGGTGGTAATAGTCCTTTGGTGGGCCGCCCAAAAGTGAGGCGCTAATGGCACTTGAAGCAGCCACGTAGTCCACAATGACACGCTCCGGAATTAGGCTGCTGAGAGGAAGGATGTTCGCCAACATCTTGAAGAAGAAAGTTTCACTGAAAAGAAGCATGTTTTGCAGTATGTCAAACGGTGAGGTGATGTCGGTTCCCCGCACCGCAATCACTGAGGTATTCTTTGACGGCGAATAAATATGACGGAACACCGCACGACCGTATGTGTGGTTCGTCGGGACAACCACCCAGTCCGAAGCGTCATCGCGGTATCGCCTGTAGAAGTTGAGCATTGTGGCAGTGTCCTCAGAGTCCCGCTGCAAGTATGCCATGAGTGAGAAGTAGGCGAGGTCCGCCGCGTGCAGGTCGACGGCCCACCTCCGCGAGCACAAACCAACATGTCTCGCAGCATCGTACTTCATCTCGTCGAGTTCGTAAACCAACTTCTTCGGGTCCTCATAGTCACGGAGACCGTAGAGGTCGGCGACCATGTAGCGTGCCGTCACGCGTATGCGCTCCCCGGTAGCAACACCTGTGCAACGTGTCGGCGTGACGCCCTCCAGACCGGGATGCTTCACGCTCACCCAAAGCGCAAGGCTGAGGATGAGCAGAACCGCAGACGAAAATGTCAGCCGATGAAAAGCGCGAAGAAGAACGCCTGGACGACCTCGTCGGCTGCCCTCCCGCCATGCGCTGGTGGGAGGTGCGGCGGTGGCACCCTTTTCTGACGGTTCAGACGTCCCCCCACCGTCACGCCGCCCAGCACGGCCCAACCGCTTAGCCACAGCACTAATGACAACGCACACCAGTGAAACCTCCACAATGACGAGCGTGGCAGAAGAAACGGCGGCGGAGGACATCACCAATGAAACTATAGGAAACGCAGAACCCAACAGCACCCATCGTCCTTTCGGATGCTGCATCACCGAATCCCCAATAGCATACATTCTGTGAAAAAAAAATGTTACCCGCCCTGAAAGGAGAAGTCCTGCGTGGAGCAGGCTGATGTACACCATTCCCTCACAGAAGCTCGCGAGGCCGTAGCTGCAGCCCTTCACCCACGACAAGTAAACGCAGTACAATGCGAGGATGTACAGGTAGCTCCGTCGCGAGCGCGGCACTGCCTTCCGCCACCACCGTGTCATTGCGGGGCCAAATGGATCATTAACGCTCCGCCAGTAATCGAACACAAGCAACACCGCCAATATAAAAGTTGCGACGATAAACAGGATAAAAATATCATTCTCCCGTCGATCCCACTGAATAAGTGATCCACCGTTAAAGATAGTCACAAATAACAATGAGATGCAGGAGGTCACAAACATTACCATAGACCTTGGACACGGCGAAGCTAACAGTTTCTGATAGCTTCGCAACAGAGTGTAGAAGCCGACGGTGCACTGTGCGGCATCATCGTAGACGACAAGGCATGAGTCAATCATGGCATCTGTGACTACAACCATCAGTTTGTATCCAAGCACAGCTAGTCCGAGGAGCATGCCAATGTGTGAGAGTACAACGTACAGAGCCCGAATGGCGTCATGGGCAAGGGGAATCTCCTTCACGTCCCGCCACGTGTACATGGACCAGTGGTACTTCTCCCGAAGAAGCGGGAAAACGAAGTGGAAGAAAAGGTGCAGAGAGCAGTTCACCCATATGGCCAATATGGACGCCAGAAGCGGTAAGTAGTGGTACGTTGCCACCCATGTAGCGATATTTTTAAACTGAAAGCGCTCTAGCAGAAAGAAACCCATTGTTGTGCTCTGTAGCCTTGCAGTGGGCCACTGCTGCTGTCCACTCCTCCCTCGAGCAGTGCGCTGTAGCGGCATGTAGAACGCGCGACTCACGCCTGAAGACCGCGGCGGTGCTGCGGTAGATGACATGAATCGCCTGCCGTCCTGGCGCCGCAGTGCGAAGAGAAGAAAGACGGTGGTAAAAAAAAAAAAAAGAAAATACCAAGCATCTACCCACCACCCTTCTCGCCTCAGTGCAAGACGTGGAGGGGCAAGAGAAAGATGCAAATGCGAGCCGAGGAGAAAAAAGCAGCACAAGCACACACGTCTGTTTTGACTTCTTCGCACCAGCGACGAAAGTGAATCAGAAAGACCAAAAACAAAAAAAAACGATGGCGCTGGCGCATTCACTATATATGAGTACTACTCGCTTGCGCAGAGCCTCGCCTCGAGGGTCTCGATGCGATCTTGGAGTCGTTCGCACTCCTCGAAATCCTCACGGGCAGCCGCAGCGTCTTGCTCCATGTGCAATACGGAAAGCTCCGCCTCGAGTTGTGCCCGTGTAGTAGTCTCTCCTAGATCAAGAGGTACTTCTTCCTCTGGAGCTGCTGCTCTTGCTATTGTTATCGCTGTCGTCTCTGCGCCGCTCTTGTCAGGCTGTAAAACACCTCTGCACTCCTCCTCCAGTGTCGTCATTAGACGCCGCACGGCAGCAGCAAGATCGTCGGGGCCCTGCTCATCCGCAGAGAGCTGCAAGACGTTCAGTGGAGCAGCAGTCGCCTGCACCGCATTCGCAAGTGTATCACGGTAGCTATCGAGGAATTGTTGAACACGATTCACTGACTTGATGCGCTCCTTGGCAAGCTGCTGCTGAAGCAATGTGCGCTTCTCAACGTTACCGCTGAGTATCGCCTGCGCAGCGGCACTCGCAGCGGAGAGTTCCTCAATCGAAGCCGTAAGCGCCCGTATTTCTTCTGCCTTCAGCTGCGCCTCCTTAAACCGCTTTGCCTGCACCGCGCCCTTCTTCTCTGCCTCGAGGAGTGGAATTTTGTTGCGCATCCCCGTCACCTGTATCGTGAGAGAAGCGATGAGCGCCTCACTCTGCTCATCCGCCACGTCAAGGGAGCGCAGCTGCTGCTGCAGTCGGTGCACCTGGAGCAGCGGTGACTCCGTCGGCGAAACTGTCGCGTTGATGGTCGGCGGCGCGGGGAACAGAACACCACAGCCCGCACCACGCGCCTGTAGGATGGTCGTCAACGCGGCGGCGTAATCACGCACAGCAGCAACCGTCTCCGTCGCAAGCAGAGCGTGGCGCTGCTCGTACACGGCAATTTTCGCCGTACCGTCCTGGAGCTCCCTAAGCAGTGCTGTTCTCTTCGCGGCAAAGGCATCCTCTTCACAGTGCAGCGTTTCGATCTCGTTTTGGTGTTGCGCAAGATCAGTGGCAGCTGCCTGCAGACGGATTTCCTCCTCCGCAATGAGGCTATTCACCTCACTTGCGAGCGTGTTGTGTTCCAGCGTCATGTGCTGCAAGTTCAATTCTATGTCTTGTAGTGCAACTGCCTTCTCGGCGCGCGTCTGCCGGAGTTTTTCGAGTCTCGCCTCCAGTGCAGCAATCTCCGTGTCGATTTCCGCCTTCTCACGTGAGAGCTGCTCCTGTGACGCACGCAGCCCACTCGTCTGCTCCAGCAGCTTCTCCTCCAGCCGCGTATTGCGCTCACGGAGGTTCACCACCTCCTGCAGCGAGTTGCTCTCCGTCCGCCTCGCCCGCTCCAGCGCGGCGGTCACCTTGTCTCTGCGATTCTCCAGGCTGAAAGCCACGTCGCTTATGAACTTCTTCACACGGCGCTCCTCACTATCCTTCGACTCGATCAGCTCTTGGCGGTGCTGCTGCAACAGCTGCGCAAGGCGCCGCACCGCCGCCTCCAACTCATCGCGACACTCAGCGAGCAATGCAATCAGCCGTTCTGGCTCCGCATCGAGCACCGCAACCCGCTGCCCCAGCTGTTCGAGCTCCATGCTCAACGCGTCCGCCTGCTCGAAGGCCTCCTGCGCGACACACCGCTCAATGCGATCCTCAAAATCCACCACCGTCGCCATGGACAAACGCCGCTCCTCGATTGCCGCACATACGTTGTCCAATACCTTGGTGAGGCACGCACGCGCCACCAGAACGCCCCTCTGAGCTTCCAGAAGCTCCTGCCGCTGCCGCCCCCAGAGTGTCTCCTCCTCATCGCCGCCACTTTTGCTGTTCGCGCTACCACTGTGAGAATTTTCCCCATCACGCTCATTAGTGTTGTATGCCTCAGTGGCATCTTTGAGCTGCGGTGTCCCTTCCTCTTCTTCCGCCTCGCCTTCCTTTTCCACTTCTACATCCTCCAGTGCAGCCGCCTTCCCCTCGGTTTCTTCGCAATGCGAAGTAACACCGGTGGATGGGGGCACAACAACAAGACCACCAGAAGCTGCATTCGAGTTTCCCGTCGTGCACTCAAACGCAGGCTGAGCTGTCGCCGCATTCTCACAGAAATCAAGCCCAGCAGGAGAACTTTTTTGCGGGGGCACTGCAACCCCCCTCTCGTTATTTTCCATGAAGGTGAAGCTGCACCCCGTTGAGACGTTCGCGGCACAGCCTTGATCGTTGCCATTCTTCTGCACCGTCCCGCCGGCAATGAAGTCAAACGCTGCGCCGACCTCGCAGTGGGCGCCCAGAAAGAACCCACTGTTTTGGGGGAGGGCGCTGGCCTGCAGCGGCTCCGGCTCCGGTCCGTACTTTGCCACCAGCAGGCGGAAGAGCTCATCTTCCCGGCCCTTGTAGTTTGCCAGCGTATCCTCCAGGCGTGGTATCTTTGATGGATTGTACTCTTTGTAGTAACGCTCTAGGCGCTGCCGCATTTGCGTGACTTTTGGATCCTCCACCTCATCCTGGGCCTTGTCTGTTTTTATGTCAAAACGCATGAAAAACGGTTCATCCCCCTTCGGCGGGGCCACGGGTGAGACCGGTTCTTTCAGCTGCACGGAAGCGACAGATTCGGCAAATGGTGTGTGTGAGCCCGCGGTACTCGGTGCCGTCTTCTTGTGGCGTGTTCGCAGAATCTCCATGCCACCAAAGAGATCAACGCCAGACGCAACAGCATTTCTACTGTTGCTGGGGAAAACATTGGGGGGAGCAAACACACCAGTGTCAGTGTTGTTAGTATGGCTGCCGCCGAGCGGTTGCTCCTCGGAAGCAGTGCTCCTCCACGCCCGCATCAATCTACGCCAAAATACGCTGGAATCCGGGTGTCTCCGTGTATGTGGGTGTGTGCACCACCTCTCTTCCAGGGCGGGAGCGAGAGCGAGAGTGAAAGAGGACAGGAAAGCAAAGGGAGCAGATTGCATTCGACTGAACCAACACGCGGGGTAGAAACAAAAACCAATGAGAGCTGCGAGGGTGGAGCCCCCTCAACCCCTCCGCCCTGGAAGAAAAAAAATAAAAGCCACGCTCCACGAGATACTAGCTCCTTATACCGTCTCCTCTCCACCTTCGCACGCAAAGCTGACCGAAGCCGGCCTACTTATATAGGAGGTCGTAATGCCCCGGGCGGTACAGCAGCGTCACCGCCGCGCACGCATCATCGCCACCGGAGAAGGTGTGCTGTGTTGTGCGTGTGCCTTCGCTACCGTCCAGGTACTCCACCACGATGTGCAGCTGGAAGCACTTGGCGAACGCTACCACCTGCACGTGGTCGCTCTCGCTCGCGACGGCGTCCACTTCCGCGCGGCAGAAGGCATCAACGCTGTCATAATTCAGTCCCATCACGAACGGCAGGAAGTCATCGCGGTGGGTGCGGATGTAGTTCGACACGGCGTAGCGGTAGAAGTACAGCATATACTCCGAGTCCTCCCGTGTGGCAAGCGCGTGCAACGCCGTCGATGTCGTGCACTTCCCAGACACAATCTGCTGGATGACATCGAGCGCGACTTCACAGAAATCTTCAACAAAGACACCGTAATCTTCGATCAGCTTTTCACGCAGTGCGGTGGCGCGTTTCTGCAAGCCCGCTGCGAGTTCCTCGTTGCCAAGCGTCCTCTCCAACAGCGCGAAGACGGCACAACGGAAGAAGCAGTTCCCGTCGCGGCGCACGTACCGAATGCCGCTGTACCGATCAGCATCAGTGAACAGCGCGATAACCTTCGGCAGCAGCGTGGAGTTGTTCGCAAACTCCTTCACCAAGGTGCACGATTCTGAAAGATTTTCCACGGGCTCACTGAGGAGTGGCGCAGCCTCGATTTCGCTTTGGATAACCGCCAGCTGCACCTCCCGCTGCTCCGCCGAGGGCATCATAACGTAGTGCGAAGAACAACAACGGGGTGTGGGGTAATGCCTTGCACGGCCTGTGGCACAGAATAAGGAGGTCCAAAACCGGGAAAAGGATGCAGCGTCGTGGGCACAGCACGCCAGCAAGGGGAAATAAAAAGCCTCTCACCACCATCACCACCACCACAGCATGTACTTATACACAGACGCACACAAAAACTGTCTGAAAGAGATAGAGAGAGAGAAATACAAACACAGGTAAAAGATAAGCTATCTCTCTCTCGCTCTATATGTATATATATATATATATATATACTCCATCTTGTTCCCACTCCCACAGCCTACTTCCCTAATGTCACGCTCTTGTAATTATACTTCTTGCTGAGCTCAATGCCCGCCTTTGAGAGCTCCAGCGAGTTTGCGCAGCAGAACCCCCGGGACATCATATCGAACGATTCCGTGTCGTCAATGTTGTGCACCACACCACCCGCTTCTCGAACAATAATGGCGCCAGCAGCGATGTCCCACGGCTGAATACCCACCTCGAAGTACAGCTCTGCCCTACCGCTCGCAACGAAGCACATATCAAGCGCCGCGGAGCCGTTGTTGCGAATAGCGTGGACAGGGAGGCAGGCAAGTTCCTTTTGTATTCCAATGATGCTGTTGACAGCCGCCTCACTGCGGTTGTACGCCTGGTGCAGAAATACAACAGACTCTTGAAGGCTGCACCTCTTCGACACGTGGATACGCTGGCCGTTGCAGCATGCGCCACGGCCTCGCACCGCCGAGAAGACTTCCTGCAGCCGCGGTGCACTCACAACGCCGAGGACCGGTTGCTTGTCAACCGCAAGTGCGATGGAAACGGAGCAGTCAAAGAGGCCGTGAATGAAGCTGGTGGTGCCATCGATCGGGTCCACGATCCACGTGGGTTCATCGCCGAGCACCGTGTCACTGTGCGTCTCCTCACTGAGGATCTCATAGTGTGGCGCGCCGGTGCGGAGGATCGCCAGTACCTCCTCTTCGCACTGCTTATCGTACTGTGTCACGAGATCGACGGGGTTATCTTTTGCACTAATGTCCAGCAGTGTGCTGCCACGTTCCTCGATGGCCTTGTCGATGATTGATGCGGCGACATGAGCGGCCCGCAACGCCAGTTCCAAGGCAACATCAAGCTCCGCATCGCTGATGGGCATAATGACCTGTAGTTTTGCTCTCACACCCGTTGCTATCACTGCCAAGCGAATAGACAAAAAGAGAAAAGAGTCTCCTTGAGAGTCGTAGTTGAATTCACGTAGTTCGGGCGAAAAGGTGCCCACGCACACTCGCAGGCATAAACAGAGACATGGATATAGATATGGATATGGATATATACACAAATAAGGGATGCAAGCATATCTCATAAAGGAGAGAGTCCCAGCACTTGGTTTTCAGCCCCTATATTCCAAAACACAGCCCTTGTTGTACATGATCACACTGTACATGTTTTTACTTGCCTGATTCTTGTTTGTTCTTCCCTTTTGGGCTTCTTCTTCCTTGGTAGTGGGGGGAGAGGGGAAGGAGGATTGTCAGCGTATAATCCCAAAGGTGGTGCAACGTTCCACACGCCTGCAGCTGCCGCATTGTATCCAGTCGGTCTCCGGCGGCGGTGCGGCTTGCGGCGGAAGTGATGGCCGGCGTGACTTGTAGGTGCGGTAAAAACGTAAAATCCTTTCAGCGGCCTCCGACAGCAGTAACTGCTTCCTCGTAGCATTGCGCTCTGCCTTCGCCAGGCGCACCAAAGTCAGGCTTCTGTACCACCGCTGCAGAGTCACGGCGGCACTCACCACAGCAGCTTCCGGCACCGTCGCTCTCTCGGAGCTCTTCGCACCACTGGCACTCGTTTTTGTCGCCGTGCTTCGCAGCATCTGGGCCCGGCGCCACGTCCGTTGAATGACGTTGGCGGCGTCCACACAGCGCAACTGCTGGAAGCGGGCGTCCCTATTCGATCGCTCGTGTTGCGCCATTGCACGGCCGCAGGCACCGCGGAAGCGACGCTGCCCCCACAGTGCCACAAGCTGCGAGGCCCACCCCACACGCTGTTGTTGTCTTTGCATCGCCAGCCGTGACGCATAGCCGCGGAAAGTGCGCTGCAGCGTAAGCAGCTGCTCCAAGTGCCGCATTAAGTACTCTCGGCGCCGCAATACGCATTGTTTCAGGAATCGCATCACAACTCGCGCAGCAAATTGCCGTGTTGATACTTTGACATCTTCCTCATGTTTTGCACGGAGAACGCGCAGTCGCTCACGCGCCGCTGACGATCGCACAAGGCGCTGAATGACAAGAACGGCGGCTGCCATCTGCCAAATGCATGTGCGTATTCTGTGGCCCCGCCATACTGCCTGCACCACAACCACAGCAGCCTCCATGCGACGTTGGCGCTTCTCCACCAGCAGATGTGGGTATCGTATGATCTCCGCCAACTGTCTGCCACAATGGCCACGGTAGACGCGCTGTATCGTCAGAGCAGCGTACTCCCGCACCTCACGGTCACGTCCCTCGTCTGCTATCTTTCGTGCCCGCCTCTTCATCGCTGTGGCGTACAGCTTCAAGAATACGAAGCTCAGCGATCGCCACACTGCGTTGAAGTTTTCACCACCGTTGTTGAGCTCATCAGATGTCAGACGCAACGATGTATCCCACGAGCCCATTGACCGTTCCTCAGCCCGCAGTGATTCCAGAAAGGCGATCCGTCGAGTATACCGTCGCCGGGCTGCAGCTCCCTTGGCGCGGTGGCAACGGTACGCACATTGAATACGAAGAGCTGCGTTCTCATGGCGGTGGGTGTGGTGCCGCCACTTCCACTCGATCCACTCATGCAACGCGTCGCTTTTACGGTAGTCGGTGATTATTTCGGCAGCTGGAGCTGGTCCTGCTGCTGCTGCTGCCACCGCCGATGTAGCTCCAGCCTTCCGCATATGCGACTTCTCACCAACAAGAAACACTTCCCACGTCATACGCTGATCGAACCGCTCCCTCAACGACTCTATCGAATAAGCGTGTGGTTTCCGCTCACGAGAACCCGACGATGTCGTGTAGGACGATGCCTCTTCCAGCGGCTCCCCAACGAGGCCGTTAAGTTCAGACTGCAAATACCAGTGTTCGCTTGAGCGGCCCGCCCGCTCGTAGCTTACCCGTTCACTATCCCAGAACCTCAGCTCCTGACGAATTTCCTCCGGTGTCGCATTGGGATGCTCGCGGCGCCAGAGACCAAATGAAGCGGAAAACTTGTCATCTGGTGATGCACCCGACACGTACGTCGTGTCACTGTGATACGACACAACCACCGCCGGTCTGGTAGATGTGGGCTGCATCTGTTCTTTCACTGACGGGATTTGCTCAAGCGTGGAGACGAAGTGGTCATCCATGTTGTGTCGCACAGCGAGGGATGAGGAGGCCTCCAACACTTTACTCACTGTGTCCCACGCAGAAGCACCTGAGAACCGCTTTGATGGCTTCACGGTGGTGTAGACGCCATCTTCAACAAAAGCGGGTTGAAAAGTGTGGTATGACTTGAGCTGATCCAGGAACTTCTCCACAATGGCGCGTGACCTCGCCGTCGCAGAGGTGAGATACCGATTAGGATCGAAACTGGTTCGACCTGGCGTTGTGTTTAGCATTGTGAGAGAATCACCACGTGAGCGGAAGTGCGCATTGTGGCGGCCCTGCTGATTCCAGTTGCTGTAGCTGGTGCGGGAAAAGTCTGCGCGGTGGGCGTTGATTGTGGGGAGAGTGACCCCAGTGATCGAACCACGAGATTGGCTTTGCTCCCGCCGCCGCGGTGTTGTTGTCGAGAGAGATGCGGAGGCAGATATCAGTGGGAGCTTCTCATCACTTTGCATCATTGGCTACACCAAAACTATTGCTGGAGTCAACAGGAATGAGAGAAACACGGAAGAGAGATGAAAACCAAAAACAATATATATATATACACCGTCGTTATCAGCAGTGCATAAACAGACGTACGTCCCACACTCAGTTTCAGGCATAGTCCAACCACTCGAAAGCAAGCGATGGTGTTTACTCCTCGCACAGCCTTCCCTGTGCACGCAGCCACTCCTTGTACGCAGCACGCGGCTCCCACGGCAGCGAGTTGACGTCCACGTCGCCGCGACGGCGCCGCAGCACCTCATCAAGGGCGGCGGCGTCATTTCCCCCCAACTTGGATGCCTTTGTGTACAGCACAAGGTCATCCACGCACTGCTTGAGCGTGGGCTCGCAGAAACCGATGATGCGGGTGTTGATGGCCCGCTTCGTGCAGTGCATGTAGTCCCACACCGCGGTCGGCAAGTGCGGCGGCTCCGTGCTCAGCCGCTCCTCCGCGGGTGCAAAGAAGGGCGACACGCCCACCGTTTTGGGACTCAGTAGGCTAGTCGACAGCTCCACAAACGACCACACTGGCATTTGTACTTCACACAAGAGAAAGGGAAAGAATACAACAAGTATCCGCCAAGAAAAAACACAATGCACGCCTTTATAGACCTCATGCACCATGGCGCTAAGAAACAACAAAACACGTGGAAGACTTATAACTTCTTAACAGCAGCAACAACACCACACACAGACAGACACACAGACACACAGACATATATAAAGAAATGTAAAAAAAAGAGAAGAAAAGAGGCTTACAACTGCGTAACCGCGGTAAGCCGTTGTGCCGTGTCCTTAATCGATTTATCTCAAGCTGTAAATTGTGTATGCATGTACGTATGCATGTGTCTGTGTGGAGGTGTGTATGTGTGTGCGCTTTAACTAAATGGGGCGGCCTGGCAGCGGCGTTACGCCTTCCACCCCCGTCGAATGCGGAACTTGATGTCTTTCTTCTTGTTCTCCTTGTTGCGGTTTGACCTATCTGCGACGGATGCCTTGAGCTTGGCGCCGACCCGATGCGACCGCTTCGTCATGTTGAAGAGCTTTCCGCGTTTCGCGTGTTCCACGTGCGTGGAATTGAGTTTGCTCTTCTCCTTCTTGCGGGCCTCGAACTTCGAGTTGGCCTGCCGCGTCTCCTGCGCCCGCGCGATTTTCTCTTCGCGGTCCTCGGCGCGCTTCTTCTCCGTAAAGTGCTCGATGTCATGCGCGGTGAGGTCGGCCGAGATGCCGTGGATGAGGGCCTGCCGCCGCTGCGTTCGTGCGTCGCGCTCCTTCAGCTTGCCGCGCAGCGAGCGGTGGCTGCCGTGCTGCGCCTGCAGCCGACGGATGCGGGCGA